CATCCATAACTACTGGTTTCCTCTAAATATTCAAAACCGATTCACAAATATGTACACAAACAAGGAAAATCTACCCTACTACAGTACTATCTCAGTTTGATCGAGGTACTGGTATGTATTACCATAACTTAAGATAATATCTCTAAACCCTCAACATAATTGAGTAGCCAATGTTTGGGCTATCATCCAAACTGTCACATTGCCTGTGTGGAGAAAAAAAATAGAATACAATTACATGCAAAAAGAAAGTCTTTTCTGTTTTCATAAGCTGTACTAAGCTGGGTGGTGGGATTTGTGTCAATCAATGCCACATGAGAGTGCTGACAGTTTTGTGAGAGGAAGTGTTTTGCAACCACCTCACTCCTCTGTTGGAATTCAGTCTATGAATGTTGTCCAGGCATGGATTCACACCAAGGTGGACAATCCAAATTGTGATTTGATGATAGCAGTTCCCAATACACAATAACCTCGATAGTACAATTTTCTCATAGGTCTTTATAATACTATTTGTTTTGCATCCACACAGATGTATTATAACCATATTTATGTCATTGGTACAAACACCTGGCAATAATAAAGAAAAAATTGGAAAATGACTATGACCGCAATGGCCTAAGAGATAAATATTGACCAAATTTTAGGGGTTGAATTTCTTATACAGTATATTATGTATAACATGAATACCTCCCTAAAATATGAAAACGGGATCAGAACACTCAAAAGTTAATGGAATGTAGAACTTTATTGTTTCTTCATTTCAAGCAACAGATCAGACTTTGAGAGAAATCAACAAGTTACAAGGCACAAAACCTAGGACGACAGTTTCATGCGTAAACCCCACCACACTGAACACGTGGTATAAAGCTAGCACCAGTATGCTTAACAACTCCAGCCTTAGTCTTAATTACCACTACTGTACTTCATTTTCTAAGTACAGTACTGTATTGTAATCCTACTGAGAATAACATGAATATTTATTAAAATAAAATTATAAAACTATTAAGCCTTCCTGATTAAGGTTATTATCAATAATGATTCTGAGAATTAGGTTACCTAAACCACAATACCTGCACACAATTAATGGTACACTGCTTCATCCAGCTTATTATTACCATGGGACAAAGTCAGTTAATAACGTGTGCTTCTTTTAGTATTAAAAAAGTTTATAAAAGTAATGTCTAAAGAAAATTATATTAGAGGGATGTGTCACATAATAAATATTTACACTACAAAAAAAAAAAAATCCATTTCACAGCTGAAAATGCACAAAGAAGAAATCAGCATTTTTAGTTCTAGTATTTTATCTAATAAATATATAAATCATTCAACATCCCCTTTCTGGATAATGAAAATGTGAAGCATTTGTACACAGTACAGTACAGTATATGAAAACCCAAGAGGTTCCAAAAATATTTATATTTCTTATCATATTCACAATCTGCTGTATTGTATACATAAACCTAAATGTGTGTACTTAAGAAATGTGCATAAAATATATAAAATACATTTTGAGATCTACCATATTCAGTCATTACCTATTTTAACAGAATTTATGATTACACTCTCCCTCAATATTTTCAAATTGTATAGGTGTCTAATGTACTTTTTACATTAGTCCTGTAATTTATACACATTAGTCCTGTAATTTACACACATTACAGTCCTGTAATTTATACACATTACAGTCCTGTAATTTAACCATGACCTGTCACCTTCAACTTTCCCAAATGAACCGGATCAGAAATAAAATATTATCCTAAGAGGAACAGAAAATTAATTTAACCATAGTATAGCTCACACATAACCCTACACACTTCTCAGTTCTATCCTGCCACCCTTAAATGTTTTCACAATGCTATTACATATACACGTGGCTGGAAATAATCATTTATTTTCGATTAGTTCCACCTACACAGTACATGCATGTCATTTTAATACTCCCACAAACATGAATGTACAGTACACAGTTAGTAGATCATTTATGTGAAATCTTGAAGGATATATTCAAACAATGACATGTCATTTAAATCAGCTTATGGTGATCACCACACTGCACTAGATGATAGAATGCTTGTCAAACCGTAAGAATAGGCAGTTGATTCACCCTCCACAGTGTTTTTTTAATTTTATTTAGCTATAATGAAGTATTAAATATTAACAAAGTATTCAGCATAAAAAAAGAGCTTAGCCAGAATGACTATATAGTATAATTCTATACATGTCAAAGAAAATTTAACTTTTCCAATGTAAAATCAATATTAAAAGTTACAATATTTATTTCCAGGAAGTATTATAACTTACTTAATTCTTGTAAGATATACTGTACTGTTCAGAATAAAAGCTAAAAATGTTCTCGTGAACACTGGGGCACCTTTCACAAGCTCCAGCCTCCTGTCTCCATCGAGGACATTTGAGAAGGTGGCACACAGGTAAATTCAATTCAATTAAATATTTACAAGCAGAAACTATATCAGGCCAGCAGCCAGAGAGCACCTATGCCTGGTATACTGCTAGAATATCTTGTGTGCAAAAACCTAATTATGCTTCAAAATGCAAGTTCAAAGTTCATAATTTATGCTTATTTTCTGTCTCTTAATATTTCACACAGTCATTCTTAGCAGACAAGTTATAATATTGCCAAATATGAAAGATCAATACTATATGGCATTAGCATTCAAACTGAACTTAATACAGCTTAATTCCTTGGGGGGTGGGGGGGCTTTTTTCCTCCCACTATTACTATCTAATCACTGCCAAACTATTTCATTTAATGGTATAAACATACACTGTACTGTATTAGTGTTGAGGGATCTTCGAAACAAACTTTTATTATAAAAGTGATACCCTGCAATGAAGCAAATGATGGTATGCAAAATATTTTATAATAAACCTCAATAAAAGAAAACATACATAAGTGTGAACATAGTGATAAGAGGTACCATAATATTGTACTGCTATGTGTGCACAGTACAATAATAAGGCACCATTAAAAATACAGTGCAATGTAATGAGATTGAAATGCTAATTCTTATTACTGAATTTGGAAGGGAACAAATTATGAGCAATAGAATTTAAGAAACTGCTTAAATGTTGATAAAAGCAATGCAACTTATCACACTTAAAAATAGTACTGTACTCTATATATAGTCAACTTAAACTTTGTTACAACTGGTGATCATTCATTCAATTAAAAATTTAAAAGCTAAAAATATTTAAACATGTAAAAACTAAAATAGTCTGCCTGAATATGTGACAGCTTTAAAAAAAATTTTTATACTTTCCCAACTAAAAGGATACAGGAACTGAAGCAACACACAAAACACACCGTCTAAAGGAAAACATTTTCAAAAGAAGTGAGTATCAAAATATTATACATTATATGATCTTTCTCTTATCTTCTTTCAAGATAAATTTTGACTTAAATTTTCAGATATCACTTGGTTAAGTTACAAAGTCATTCGACCTATACAACTCTACAATACATTGCAAAGTGGCTCTCCATGCTCATCATCTTTTTCTACCTTATTATCAAATGATATCTAGTCAGATCTGTGGTTGCAGGCATTTTAGCAATTCTAAATGACCTTGTTTGTTAAATAATTCACCATGTAATATTGGCCTATAAAGCCTATTTAAAGGTTGTGCACACCCCTTTTATATATATATAAAAAAAAACTACAAATACTGTCTACTCCAGGTGTCCAAGAGTTACAGGAAAACCGCCACTATTTTAGTACATTTCAGTGATTTATTGTTTCCCTGAGTGTATTCCCAGCAGAAGTAAATCTTTTATTTCAAATAATTATAGTCCTAAAATTATACATAAGAATAGGTTAAACTTTAGAGTGTAATAAATATTCACACAGACCGTACAGGATCCCAATTATCCACACTGCAAGTTTTTGTTGGCTTTGTTCAGTGATTTATGAAACTCAGTAAGTGCCTGTTATTGGATGACACACTTATTTTCAGCACCTGGATGAAATATAATTTTAAAATCTTTTTAGTTGCAAAATTGTGTTTTAGTCTTACCATAACCACTAAGTTGTGTCACTATGAATAATTATCCCCTGTAAGGCAGAATACAAGTGTAAAACAGACAGTTCATCCTCAATGGAGGTTAAAGACACACAGTATTTCTGATGCAGTCAGTCATTTCGCCTAACAGTAATTTAGTCAAGCAAGTCATACAGGGATAATCGTGCCATATCTAACTATACTGCTCGAGTTATACAGGGATGATTTAGAATACAGTGTAAGATTTCAAAGTGCACATACACAGGGATCACATTTGCTTCCTCAGGCCTCCAGTAAAAAGATGCCATCTTGGAAAAAAAAATCCTGGGCACCCCTCCAGGGTCTCATTATTGAGAGGGGCAACCATAGGTAGCACATTATGTTACCTGTGTACCTATCACATAGGTAATTACAGGTAGTACAATGTGTGCTACCTAAGTGCAGTTATGGGATGAGAGCTATGCTTGTGGTGTCCCTTCTTCCCAGCACTCTGTCATATAATGCTTTGAAATTATCGACGGGTTTTGGCCTCTACCACCACTTCACCTAACTTGTTCCAACCGTCTACCACTTTGCGAAAGAGAATTTTCTTATAGTTCTCCAGCAACTTTGTTTCATTAGTTTAAATCTGTGACCTCTTGTTCTTTGAGTTTCAGGTCTTAGGAATTCTTCCCTATCAATTTTAATGATTCCTGTTACTATTTTGTATGTAGTTATCATATCGCCTCTTTTTCTTCTATCTTCTAGTTTGGGATATTTAATGCCTCTAACCTCTCCTTGTAGCTCTTGTCCTTCAGTTCTGGGAGCCACTTTGTGGCATGTCTTTGCACCTTTTCCAGTTTGCTGATGTGCTTCTTAAGATATGGGCACCATACAAACACTCCATATTCCAGCTTTGGTCTAATAGAGATTGTGAACAATTTTTTTAGTATTTTGCCATCCATGTATTTAAAAGCAATTCTGAAGTTAGAAAGTGTAGCACAGGCTCCTCACACAGTTTTTTATGTGGTCCTCAGGTGATAGTTTTCTGTCTAGAACCACCCCAAGATCTCTCTATCAGAATTCTTTAAAGATTTCTCACAAAATTTACATTGTGATTTCTGTGTTTAATGTGTGCTGCAGCTCACAACCCTACCATGCAGCTTGTGCCCACAGCATCACTTAATATGGATGAAATAATTAATTCTTTTCTGTTGATAGTGTCATAGACGATCCTGACTTTGACAGAGACTATGTACAAGATTTAAATATTAGAAATACAATGGTACTGTAGTTATGATGCTCACAGCAGGAGGCAGACATTCACAGCACACATCTATAGTTTCATGCCTCTATGGATAATCGAATGTGACGTCGTGTTCCTTTAGAAATAAGCTTGTGGAAATTATTCATATTCATGATTTAGTGACAGGAATCTGATAATAACAACAGCAGTATTGCATAGTAATACAGTAATAGGGATGTGCGTAGTATACTGGAGGTATTTTGCTGTGTCAGGTGCCATCATCTGTTGGCGTTGTCTGCTGATCATCTCCCATGTTGTGCTTCAATTTCATTCCACACCCACCAGATCTGCTTACTGGTTCATTATGGTGCATAAAAATGTAGACAGACATATATATGTCATGTGTGTATAGAGTAATAACATTAAAACTATGTTTTATTGTTCAAAGAATATTGTGTGCATATTAGTGACAAATGTGTGTGTATATCTATATGTTCTCAAGTTCTGTGATACAAATAACATTACTTACAGCCCAATGCATCATTGTACTTGAAGACGCAATATCAATAAATATAGAAAGAAAATTCAATATGTTCAATGCGTGTACTTACAACTTGGTGCAAGACGTGTGTGGTGCTAGGCTGACCTTGGATCGTAGTTACGAGATTACCATTCCCACCAGGACTTCTTAATGGTTCCAAACAGTGAATAAACATGTAGTCTACATGACATTTGAATATAGTGTAATAACAGCAAAAACTGTACCTTTTATTGTTCAAAGAATATAATATTGTGCGCATATTAGCAACACAAATATTTATGTGTAACCATGTTCTACATATTTTGTGATACAACTGCTGAATGAACACTCAAGAATTGCCCGACTTTTGGGCTTCAACATGGCCAAAGTAAGCCCTATACAATTTTGTTGTACTTCTTGCTTATCTTGGAATGCATTTTAACAATATAAGAAGGAAAAAAACAAAATCTGCACACTGGGGGAATGTTGGCTAAAAACAGTGGTGCAGCTGGGGTTAATTACCAATATCTAACTAGATAAATACACATTCTTATAGAATTTACCTTCATATCAGAGTCCACAATGCTACTTTATTTAGTACTCTTGAAATGACATCATTCCCAATTTTTACTCATGGGGTCTGCTTATTTCTGAAAGCCATGCAATGAATTTACTGCTCTTGAACTAGTACAGTTGAAAATATTGTTAAACATTGCAGGCATGTACAGCATAACATTCTGTATTATTAAAACTGCAGTACAGATTCTTCTTAACTACCATTTCAACATAATATTTTAAACATTAAAAGCATAGTTTACCATTTTCTAACATTACATGATATTCAAAATATAAAACTATACAGTACTAAATGGAAGATCATGATATATACTGACTTTTTTCAAGTAATGTGGTTTAGGTAACAGCAAAGTGGATAACAAAGTAGCACAAAAGTAACAACTTTATAAAACATGATGATTCAAGCAAACTTGTATGATATACTATTTATAAAACAATTGCCTTCTACATACAGAATTATATGAACATGTTTACTGATGATGCTAAGATATTGGGGGAAGATAAGAAACCTAAATGATTGTCATGCCCTTCAAGAAGACCTGGACAAAGTAAGTGTATGAAGCACCACATGGCAAATGGAATTTAGTGTGAATAAATGCCTTGTGGAATAGGAGAAAATAGACCAACCTACAAATTGTGTGACAGCTTTAACAAAATTCTGATACTGTACATATTCTGATACAGAAAGAGATCTAGGGGCGGTTCTAAAAAGAAAACTGTCACAAGAGGATCACATAAAAAACATTGTGCAAGGAGCCTATGCTACGCTTTCCAATTTCAAACTTGCTTATAAATACACAGATGGTGAAATACTAAAGAAATTCTTCAAGGCCTTTGTGAGACCAAATTTGGAATATGCAGCAGTTGTATGGTGCCCATATCTTAAGAAACACATCAACGAACTAGAAAAGGTGCAAAGACATGCAACTAAATGGCTTCCAAAACTGAAAGACAAGAGCAACAAGCAGAGGTTAGAGGTACTAAATGTGGCAATACTAGAAGACAGAAAAGAAAGAGGCGATATGATCATTACATACAAAATAGAAATGGGATTCGACAAAATTGATAAGGAAGAATTTTTGAAACCTGGAACTTCATGAACAAGAGGTCACAGATTTAAGTAAACTAAACAAAGCTGCCAAAAAAATACAGTATAAGAAAATTTCCCTTTTGCAGACAGAGTGGTAGATGGTTGGAACAAGGTAAGTGAGATGGTGGTGGAGGCCAAAACCGTCAGTAGTTTCAAAGCATTTTATGACAGTGCTGGAAAAAGACGGGGCATTACGAGCGTAGCTCTCATCCTGTAAATACACTCAGTAAAATACACGTAAATACACCTATGAATTATGTGGAAAGCCATTAAGGAACTCTGACAAAGAAAGAGATCTAAGGGTGGTTCTGGATAGTAGACTGTTACCAGGTGACAACATAATGGACATTGAACAAGGAACATATGCCATGCTTTCTAACTTAGGAAATGCTTTTGAACGCAGTACATGGATGATGAAATATTAAAGAAAGTGTTCATGCAAAAACTTGAATATGCAGTTGTATGGTACCCATACATCAACAATTACACAAATAAACTAAAAAGGTGCTAAACATGCTACTAAATGGTTTACGTAACTGAAAATCAAGAACTATGAGGCGAGGCTAGAAGTGTTAAATATGTCAAAGATAGAAGGGAGAGAGAGACGATATGATTACTAGATACAAAATAAGAAGCGAAATTTACAAAACTGACAGAGGAATTCTTAAAACCTACAATTTCCAAGAACAAGAGGTCATCGATTCGATCTAAGGAAGCAAAGGTATTGAAAAATATTAGAAAGTTTTCCTTTGTATACATAGTAGTAGACGGTTGAAACAAGAAAGAAGGCAGTGGATGCCAAAATCGTTAATAGTTTCAAAGCATTATATGACAGAGTGCTAGGAAGGCAGGACACCACAAGAGTAATCCACAACCAACACACACACATCTACAGCTTACACACCTACAACACACACACACACCCACCCACAACATATACAGTTACACTTAATCATAATTTTTTACTTATTTATAAAACCTGAGGGGAAAGGTAAGATATAGCACTTGGGTAATTTCTTGCTTCATTTCCCATCATGGTTATACATTTTTGTTAGTTCGCGCGCGCACGAACAAACGCTCGTAGAGTCCTGTCTTCCCAGTACTCTTTGTCGTATAATGCTGTGAAACTACTGATGGTTTTGGCCTGCACCACCACCTCACTTAGTTTGTTCCAACTGTCTACCACTGTTTGCGCGCGCGTGTGTGTGTGTGTGTGTGTGTAATTACCTAAGTATAATTACAGGATGAGAGCTATGCACATGGTATCCCATCTTCCCAGCTCTCTTTATCATATAAAGCTTTGGACAGTATATGACGCCTTACTGACGGTTGTGGCCTCCACAACTTTCTCACTTAACTGTTCCAACTATCTACCACTCTGATTGCAAAAATTCTAATATTTTTTTCAGCAACTTGTTTCCTTAGCTTGAATTTATGACCTATTGTTCTTGAGGTTGCTGGTTTCAGGAATTCAGTTGTTTAAGTTGTCACCATCCATGTAATTGAAAGCAATTCTGAAGTGGGAAAGCACAGCATATCCTCCTTGCAGTGTCCTTTATGTGTTTCTTTGGTGACATTCTACTATCCAGAACCATTCTTAGATCTCTTTCATTGTTCGAGTTCTTTAATTCCTTCCCACATAATTTGTAGATTGTCTGTAGTCTATTTTCTCCTATTCCACATTCCATACCATGACATTTACTGACAATGAATTCCATTTGCCACAAGGTTGTCTAAGCACTTATTTTATCTCGGTCAATTTGAAGGGCATGCCAATTGTCTGTCTCCTATCTTCCCTAGCAGCTTAGCGTCATTAGCTTAGCATGTGTACACATGTGCATGCATGTTTTAATTTGAATCATATTTTAAATTAATCATATAATATTTTATCAAATTCCAGAACAGAACATTGCACACCTTAAATCTATCAAAAACAATTTCTTACAAATTCTATCAACCATATCTCTTAGACAGGTCTGAAACCCACAGATTATGACCAATTCTTAAATAATTTTTTGTAGCAACAGAGAACTAAAAACTATATTTAAATAAAATATTTCACATATATATTTGTAACAGTAAAGTGGTAATAATGTACACTTTTCACAGCTGCTCTGGGTTAATAATGCCCTCATTCTTCTCCCCATAAGACTGTGATGGCACTATTTAGAACCCCTGTATGTTATCCACTCTCTTAATAACACTGCTTTTACAAATACCTGTAGTCATGTTATTTCATATAACAAAGAGTCTTAAACCAATCCAATGACTGGAAAGAGCAACTATGGTTATATATATGTTCTGGACTTTCAAGACTTAAAGCTTAGTTATAAACGTTATAAGTTATAAACTATGACCCTTTATGGTTAAAACAGGAAGTTAAAATAAATCTTAGTAGCACTAATGCTTATAGGCAAAAAAAAAACTACTAACACTCGGACAACTATGGGACATAAAAAACCTTTATATAAACTAATAAATTTTTCTTCCAAATTATATAGTATTTATCACATTGTGTAACACAAGTATTATCATATAACCGTAAGTGTAGCTGTAGCGTATATCTTTCCACTAGTCATAAGACAGTTCATAGAAATAACTGGGTTTAACATTAACTTTAAAATTTAGAAGTGATGCCTATTTGGCAAATAGGATCAAGTTGAATTTTGTTCAACCTTCATTTCTGCTTTACCAAATTCTTTTCTGGGAAAACAAGTCATATGCAGTCATTTGAAATAAATGCTGAATATTAGCATTTTACAATTATTAAAACATAAAATATCTATAAACAAAACAAAATTAATCTTTGTGAATGTAACTTTAGAAAATTAAATGAGCAATTTAACCACTCTCCTCTTACCAAGTACCAAACAATCCTACATTATAATGACTAATATAATTCAAAATCTATTTTGCAAGATTTTAGGGCAATATAAAGATGTATTGTTATCATAAGTGATGATGATTATAAAATAATGACTATACTGCATATGACTTGAAATATTTGCCCTCCTCTAATAATAATAGTTCAGCTAATATCCTTGAGCAAATCCATAGTAACAAAATCAATTTAGTGTACAGTATTTGATTTTAACCAATATTTAAATGCAAAAAGAAAAATCATCAACATTGAATGTAATGAAATGCCCCTTTCTGGTAGAGTCCCGCTGGCTTCCAGAAACTCTTTTGCCAAGATTGATCCTATCTATTCCGAACTAGGTTACATCAGTCACAGGAGTTCTGTTTAGCCTACTGGGAACCAGAGTCAGAATTTGGCTGCCTCACAGTGGCAAAGAGAGCAGATGACACTTCACCACTGCCACTGGGAAAGCATCCAGAAAGTCAGCAAAGCATTACAGACAACTGCAAGGTTTGCAGGAACCAAAATTCCAATTAAAATGAGATGATCAGATCACTCAAAACTAGCTCGGACCCATAGAACCAACAAACTGCCACCAGGAAGCCTGGAACCCCGGTCCTCCACCAGTTCTCCTGTCAGTTCAGGAGCAGATGAACCCCACAACCCACCAACCAATTACCTGGTAGCAAGGAAGGGCATCAGGGAGCTACCAGGGTTCTACTAGAAAGAAGCATTTCATTACATTCAACACTTGTATTTTAGAGAAGCCCCTCGGTGGCTCCCTGAAGCTAACTATGGAGAAAAAATAAGGGTCTTACCCAGGACATGGTAGAAACCACCACCACCAGTGCAGTGTATCCACAAACATCATGGGCATGAGGGTAGACCACAGGCTAGCTAGATTTAATAACACTGGACATCCTAAGAAATGTGAGCCTTGGAACTGGGGACCAAGGAAACAGATCAGCCCACAAAGCAGTCAACACAGAAATGCCATTCAAATCTTGTGAGTGGTATCGAAACAGGTCCGAACAGGCCACTGACATGGTACTGCAAGGAGACCAAAACCCCCCACAATGCAGACTGAAGCATCAAACTGTACATGGCACCAAACCCTGGGGGAAGCTACCAAGGAAACACACACACACCATGAAGGGGGATAAGAAAAACTGGCTCCCAGCAACAAAAAACCCTTCCACAGGAGAAACAGGGGACCAAAACACCCATGGGTGTCCCCTGGGCTCCCCCACAACTGCAGAAGCCAGCCATGACAGCCCCAGGAGCCATTTAATCCTGCCCAATGCAAAGGAGAGAAGGTGATGTCCTATGGAGAGGGAGCAAAGGAATTAAGCGGCTAGGAAGATTCTACACACCCCGGTAATAAGAGATGGCTCAACTGCCTCCACTGTCGAAAGGATGGGGCCACCCTACACTCCCAGAGAAAAAAACTCCACCCCTAATTCCGAAACCAGCAGATGCAACAGAGGCAGGACCAGGAAGAAGCAGACAAGATGCAGGGTGAACCACACCCCCGAGGGAATGTTACTCCAGGCAGAGTAAACAAATACCCCAAGCTCCAATACTCTACACACAGTGAATCTAACTCTTTGACGTCCATATGACCACCATGCCACTAACCCAAAAATGGGAAACCAAATCTGTTAAGCAGCAGCTGTCCATTAAACCTTAAGATGAGGGAGGCTGAGAGAGAATTGAGACCAAAAATGGATATGAGATGCAAGACTCCGGATCACAGGTATCACTGACCCAATAGGTAATATGGCAGAGGGAAAAAGAATAAACATAGTCACCTACCAAAGGCAATGAACACCCTTGAGACTCACTTGTAACGAGTGCAGGCTCAATGGGTCGATCCATAGAGAAGTACGTAAAAAAGACACGGGGAAATTTCTAGGACCTGAAAGTAATTACCTGAACAGGGCACCCAGGCTGGAAGAACAGTCACCACATGCAATCACAGGCATGAAGCTGTGCAGGGTGGTTACAGTGTGCCATTTGAACAAGTGTGTATACACTGCAAATCCCAGTGTATTCCAACCCAACCAAATTGAATGCCTCCCACCATGGGGCCTGAACAGAGTAGTGAAATAATCTTAACTACAGTACTTGAGGTAAGACACCTCACCAGGGTGGCCTGTGAACTACTCGAGTTGAGACACATCACCTAGGAGGCCTGGGCTTGAAAGGGTGAACACCCGAACACAACAGAGCAGTAACTGTCAGTGAAGGTGTAGTGCCAGCGAGTATTGAAGTAAGAAAACCCTCAACCCACACAAACCGAACCACAAAATGAGCCAAACCCACACAACAAACTGGATAGAAAACATGCACCTAAAGCTTAGCTTAGAAGCAGAAGAATCCACTGTAACTGGTTGGCAAACAGGAGCATTGATGTAGTGTGGATGACACCACATCAGTGACAGAACTGCCAAGGGTGAGTTGGTGGAGGGCCGGGGTTCCAGCCTACCCTGGTGATGGTTTGTTGGTACAAAGAGGTCTAGCAAGTGTTCAGTGATTTAATCATTACATTTTAATTGTTTGGGGAATTGTTTATCAATTTAAATGGCTTTAATTCCTATGAACCTTGTAGTGGTCTGTAATGCTTCACTGATTTTCTGGATGTTTACACTGTGGGTTGGGGAAGTGTCACCTGCTCTCTATGTCTCTGTGAGGGGGGGAGGGCAAGGTTCAGGCTCAGGTCCCTGGTAGGCCAAACAGAACTCCCACAATTGATGTGACATAGCTCTTAGGAGCAATCTCAGCATGACAGCTCCATGGAGCCATCAAGGGGAATCCTCCACAAAAGAATCCACTACAGTATATTACATTTTAATGAAATGGTATTTTACATTTTGGTTTGCATTCAGGTAAATGCAAACCAAAAAGAAATACCCGCTTGATTTTGGCTGGCAAATAAATGATCAAAACCAGGCAAGCAGACACCTGCTACTGTTGATGTAATGACTAGTATGTAAAGTCTAGCTTTTATTTTTATTAATCTAAATGTTTTGTTTTTACTTAAATATCAGTTTCTTTGATTTTATCAATCTTAATTTATATATTTCATTTGCTAATGATTGCAAGAACAGTATGATAGATTGCATATAAGAGAACACTAGAAAATGAAACACACATATTAACATTAACAAAAATAGAACATTTAAACAAAAAAGAAATTGAGATTAATGAAAATAAAAGCTCAACTTTATATACCAGTCATTACACCGAGGCCCATTGCAGGACTAATGCACCAGGAATACCAATACAACACAGCTGATGAATAAGACAACACACAACTGGTAAATAATACAACACACAGCTGGTGAATTATACAACATGCAGCTGGTGAATTAAAGTGTACAAAAATACCTCATTCTCTGAGGTAAACTATCATTACCATAATTAATTGCCATATGTTATATGCAATGTAAAGGAGATATAGTGTATTCTGTCAAATTGTGGGTTGTGCAAGAGCATTAACAACTGGTCATATATTTGCTGACAACAAATTTGGTAAGGTGGGAAAATAGCTAGGCCAGCAGATGAGCAGTTATATATGGTAGGCACTCTTGACGGCTATCCTGGGGTAATTCCTTGCCAAATGTCATGTACAGTATTACAATAACCAGAGAACAAATTATTTACCCCTATTTTTAAAACCATATATATTCTGAAAATCTGCCTCTTCTAACAAATGAACGTTCATCATTGATAATAGAATGTATATACTTTCTGAATGCTAGACTTCAGCCTTGCAACAAATTAAGGTACAGCAAAGACACCTTATTCTTGTTAAGTAGAAAATCTTTATCAAAATTTCTTAAAAAGTCTCCTGTAAAGCACAATCACTCTTTAACTTGATTATATCAATTAAGATGAGAGATACCAAAATTATGAAATCATGGAGGAACTCTTAAAAATATCTACCTCTGACATAGGAATAACATTTGAATTGTTATTTGGCACTTCCTATGTACTATACATTATTTACCGTCTCAATGTCTGAACAATTACAGCCATATTTCAGTAAAACAGGTAGCAAGTTTTCTCTGTTTCTTGGCTACATTGAATTTTTTTACTGAAAGTCAACTAGTGTTGTTCAGTGCTCATAGTAGTATTCAATACCTATCTTAGTTTGCCACCTACTATGATATGTAAGTACACAACTTGTCATGTTTAGCCTTACATAATACCACTTCATTCTACAGTTAGAAATATCTTGTAAGAAAATAGTTGTAAAACAAACTTTTATGAAATGTTTCTAAAAACAAGAATGGACTGGCATTGATTAAGGTGACCATAATGTTGCCTTGCCTTCACTAATATTAAAGTCTGGCTGTAGGCTATTGGTGAAGGTGAAAACCAGGTACCAAAATCAAAAGGTAGGTAGTGTTAGCTTTCTTTAACCTATGTAAGTGTTATGGACATTTTGTAAAAAAAAAAAAATAAAATAAAATAAAAAAAAATTCTGCCCACAATCTCCCTTTAAAAATGTACAAAACCAATATATTTTGATACAGGCTGATACAGATTTGATTTTTAATTGCATTCACACTGTTACTACTGTTACTGAATGAAAATGATAAACAATTTTCATCTTATGAAAATACCCATACATGACCTCAAAACTGGCTTATTAGCTAAGAAAAGTTCTGAGACCTTACCAGGCTTGTGCACTAATTAAAAACCTTTCATTACAAAAGATATCACTGAAACATGAACTTCATATCATATATAATACTTACTTTTCACTATGTTACGATATTTTGTTTATGGAGGCCCTATCCTAATAACAGCCATGACATACTCCCAAGATGGAAGAATGGAAAATCATGATGGTTAGATAAAAATGCATAATGGTAACACCAGCTAGCAGACGGGAGCAATGGGGGATTGGTGTGGGAAGCATTTCCAGTGAGCCTGTTGGAGCTGGACACGAAGATGGACCACAGCTTCACGCTCCTCTTGTATGCGCCTCGTAAGAGCCAGGTTTTCCTCCTGAATAAGTTCAAAGGCACAGTGTTACAACAGAACACTATATGAACAAAACTGAAGCATCTGAGAAATTGTATGTAAAATAAATTACAGTTATCATTATAGTGATTTGACTATGGAACAACAAATGATAAACCAGGAAGAACAGAGAATAAAAGTGAAAAGAAAATGGAAGGGAATCAGCAGACAAGACAAGCAGAGTACAAATAGAACTGTCAAACCAGAGAGCTGTACCCCTATGACAGCAATGATGTAGCTCACACAGACTATTATCCCTACTCCTTAATTTGACCAAAGACCAAAGTCAAATGCCCATGGACGCCAAAAGGGAGGGAACCTGCACGTAAAGATGCACCTGGCCGATATCACGAGGAAGCACAGGGGCGAACAAGCACGCACCTCAAACTCTCCCCCCAGGTAAACCTAAATGACCGTAGTCAACTCCCACCAATCAAGCGTGCGGGTCCAACAGAATGCATGCCACGCCACAACAACAAAAAAGAAAGGGCAGTCCGCCAGCCAGGAAGACTCCGGCACCTCGTAATACACCCAGTAAAGAAAAGAAGAGCCAAATTCAAAAGAAGAAGGATCCATTATCAAGGCATAATCAGGGTCTCACAGGAAGTAAGCTGCATAAGCCTTTTGCACCTCCCACTGCGGGATGCCAAAAACCTCCGGAAGGAGGGAACTGAGGAACCCAAGGGAACCCGGAACCAAACCCAGGGAAGAGGGATAGAAAAGACCCCTCCCCCTGTAACAAGCCCCATGCCGAGGGCACCAACACCCAAGCGGGGTTAAATGGGGCTCAATCCCCCCAAGGCAACTCCTACCCAGCCCCGGGATCCCCAACGTCAGGACCCAGGGCCGAACTCTCCTCCAATCCCTCTGCCTCTGGAGAAAAGGCAGAGTCCACCAGAAAAGCAAGGATGAAGGGGGTCCACTGGCGTGACCCGAAAGCCTGGCAGGAGGAACAGGCTCGCATACCTCCACCGCCGATCCAGAAGGGGCAGTCCTCGAAGCTTCCAAAGTCTAACCAGACTTTTTTGGGGGGGTCTTTCACTCTGCTAGTGTTGTTACATTGAGTTCCCACAGCTTGTTTTTATAGCTAATCTCACTTATCAGTGTTAAGCAGAAGGTCAAAAAGTAGCAATTAATTTTCTTACCTGAAGTGAAGCGTTGGCCTTTGAAACAGAAGAGAGCTGACTGAGCATCTCCTCCTCTGTGTCACTCTCCCCATCACTTTCACTACCCTCACTCTCACTGCTGTCATATGAGTAGGTCCTGATGGAGATTATGCAAATTACTATTATGCACATACCTCTGTACAAACCCAGGCCTGCACTTACAAACAATAACATATGACAGTAATGTTGGCTCTACAGTAAATGTAAATCCAAATATAAAGTGCACGATTTAGGATAAAATTATGCGATTTTATTGCATTTGGGCAAAGGCGTAAGGCATCTTCAATCCCAGTACATCTCAAATTTCTTTATTTAAAAATGCAACTTTCTGGTTGCTCCTATTATTCTGCATATTTTTTTTAACAGGGCTTTCATTGCAAAACCCAATTTACTTTCCTGCTTGACCATCTCTCAACTATGACTGCACAATTTTGTTTTTATCAATCACATATTTTAGGTATTATAAACTGATAAGATGATGTATATATAGTATGTCACCATTCACATTTAATTTACACTAAATTCCCCTTTTCTCTCCACTACCATAACTTTACTTTTGTCCACATTCACCTTTAATCATTTTCTCTCGCACACTAAAATCTAATTTTCAATTACAGAGTAGTTTACATAAATCTCTTACTCCATACTAAGGTAGAAAATTATCATGGAAAGTGCCAAGCCATTATGACAATATGGCACTTGGATGGGGTCTGGTTAAGGATTTGGGATCGGATGGAGGGGAAAAGGAATGGTGTCCAACCACTTGGACGGTCGGGGATTGAACACCGACCTGCATGAAGCGAGACCGCCGCTCTACCATCCAGTCCAAGTGGTTGGGCTACTCTCTACTGTACTAAAAGATATATATTTATATCAGGAAGAATTAGTAATAAGACTTCAAATGTTATTCTTTAAGTTTATCTTGATCTTATTTGGCCTTATTTAGATTTTGCAGTTCAGTTTTTGACACCATAAAGAGAAAGATGACGGTTAATTGCATGAATTAAAAACCTCCTATATAATAAGGGATTAGGAAAGCTTAATTTATATCAACTAGAAAGGCAAAGAGTAAGGGGGTAATACACAAATATATGAAAGAGAATAACAAGGGTGATATTAATATGGGGCCAAATATATTAACACAAAATAGAACACTAAAAAATGATAAGTAGATTTTAAAGATCAAATTGCCAGGTAATGTAATTGGTTTGAGATTGTTTCAAGTGTAGGTTAGATACCTTGCATAGACCTAGACCTGCATTTCTCTTTATTCTTCAGTTCTTATGTAGAGTATAGATAAAATTTCATTAACTCCAATAACCTACATTAGGCCTAAACAGTGGGTTCACACAGGTCTCTAATATTCTTACCGTGATCGCCTTGACATCATCATCATCCATATAAATAATGAATAATTAAGAAGACATCACACAACACTAGCATACCCCAACATTATTAAACATTATTATCAAACATCACTCATTACACCATTAACTTACACAAATTCACCACTTCCTATACGCTGTACAAACTGCTTACCAAGCCTGGCTAACTCCACACTTGCTTACCACTCTTCAAATTCCCTGCTCCACTTTACCAGTAGCCTAGAAGCAGAGAGAATAATTAAAGCTTTACCTATAACCATACAGTGTCTGCATCTCCTGTATTTCCTCTCTCAGCCGAGTGATCTCGGCCCGCTCTGCCTGCAGCTTGCGCATCAGGTCATGGTTCATGGACAAGAGCTCCTCATGGTGAGCCTGAACTATGGCCTCTTGAGTTAACAGTAATTGGTATTCATTATCACCTGGAAGCACCATCAAGAATCCTAAATAGATCATTTTGCAACATTTCTCATATTTATAATACAAAAACAGCTACAGATGATATTTTACACAAGCCCATAATTGAGAAGAAAAGACCAAGATGTCAAGGATCATTGATAAAGTCAAATATATCAATGTCAAGAAAAGCTTCCTTGGTAAAACAAATCTTTCTATAGATAAATAAGCGACACTTTGTTTGAATGTTTGTAAACTTTTGTAAACTGAGCAACACCTCACACACCCACCTTTCATAATCTTGACATTTCTCTTACTACACTAATGTAATGTACAGATAAAAAATAAACAGATAATTCTGAACATTTTGATAAGAAAATTAATGTTCTAAGCCTATAAATAGCTTCACAAATAGAAAATGAGTAAAGTATAATTTTTTTTCATATCACTCACACATTACTCATTGCTTTCAAAATTTATTGAGTGAGCATTAGTCCAGTTATTTTTCCTACTATCCATAGGAATATAGACCAATCAACTGCTCATACTGTATTCACATATGAATAAAAATAACATTTATGATCATATCTGTATGATATAGAAATATTTAAAAATTTATGAAAACTCAATGGTACCTCACATATTTTACACCATTTACTTATCCACTGTCTTCTTTATTGTACTTAACACCTATAATTTTGTAACATCTAGATTCCAAAACCCATATTCTAAACCAATAAATAACGTTGAATACAGAAAATGAAACTGTATATACTTATTATGTATTGTAAAGCAAATGGCAAAAATCAAACTATGAATGTAATGAAATGCACCTTTCTAGTCAGTCTCTTAGTAGCTCCTTAAAGCTTAATCACTGGTACTGCCAAGTATTCAGATTGTACCCCAGCACCTGATACCTATACAAGCCTAGCAGAAACCAGAACCAGAATTTAATTCACCTAACCAGAAAAAGCGAGAAGAGGTAACGGTGATTGAGCCAAACACGAGGCAGACAGATCATAAATTCTAGACAAAATAAACCACTGCTTGAAAGACAGAAATGATATGAGGTAAAACAATGCTAATGTTAGTTTGCCTCTTTTAGAAAACCAGATGAAGGGACCAATCAATAAAGATGGTGGATGGATCAATAAAGATAGCATGCAGATGTAAAAAATTAATAAAATCTTAATATATCCAATTATGCTCGGGAAGAACAACAGCTGAGAAAATTCAAGAATAAAAGATTAATTAATAAGGCTAAGCAAAGAAAATGGTCTTCTCCCTGAGAATGACAGTGATGTGAAGCTTGACAAAAGCTTCAATGAGACCAATATATATATATATATGTATAAGCAAAATGAAGGCTGAGGGGTTAAAGATAACAGTAAGACAACTAATGTTGCATAGCATGAGAATGGACAATGTTTAATGCATTGTTAGACAAGTGACAAATAATAAAGAAAAGTTGCCAACAGAAAAGAACCTTTTGAATCACCACAGCTGACAGAGAAAGGAGCAAATGTCATGTCATGTCATGTATGAGAGAAGCAATGAATTGATCATAGCAGTTAGAAAAAACTGCATAGAAAGATAAAAAAACAAAACAATGAATGTATGCTTGGAGCCAAGATTGGTGTCATATCCCATCAAAAGTTTTGGAAATACAGTATTCACATCCATGGATAAAGAGTCATCATTATCATGAAATGAGGTAGATGATACTCATGATTAGAGAGGATAACAAATTTCTTAAAGAAGGATTCACACACTGAGATGGTAGAAGTGAGGAAAAAATGGAGACAGAAGGATAAAGTGATAGTTGAAGGACAATAAGGCAAGTCAGAATGATTAGAATGGGCACCTTTCTTCCAGAAAAGTGGCAGATGAACAATTGGTCTCTTGAATTCCCCAAATAGATTTTACATATATTGTAAAAATTCTTTAACAATGTTCACAATGTAAGAGAGACAAGATACATTAGACGATATTACATTTAAATGAACTAACCTCTTCCTCTTGAATCATCCAGGCTACGTGTTTCTCTCAGGGATGTTTTTTCTACAGCTAATCTTTTAATTTCTGGCCTCTGATTAACTAATACCTGAGACTGATCATGTCGAGTAGCACCCGAGTGACACTGTCCTTCACTTGCCCCACTACTACCTACTCCAACCTGGATCACAGTAACATGTCCACAATGCTCTTCCACTCTGAGATTCTTTGTCGATTCCTGAACTGGTTTGTCTGCCCGAGTTATTTTCTCCACTGACTCGTCGGCACCATCCCCACTACTACTCGTGCCTTCTACAACAACTGGAACAGGCTTCTCACTAGATTGTTCTCTATTGTCACTCTGTAAGGCTTGAGCCATCTTGTTTCTTTCAGTTCGTGCTGACACAGGTTTAGGAAGGGCTGGAATTGTTGTGGGAGGTTGTGAAGCAGAAACTACAGTTGAGTTTGCTACATGAGATACATCTTTAACATTGTCTTCATTACCTTGTTTATCCTTCTCATTACTACTCAGAGAATCCACACTCACATTCACTACAGTTATATTGTTTTTGGATTTTGATGTTTTTCTATAATATCCACTACTATTTTCACTTTCACTACCATGCTTTGAATCATCTGAAGCAGCCTCTTTAGAAGATATGTCTTCTCTCTCCATATCTGTGTCTTTCTGGGAATCTTCCGAGGTAGATTCCTTTTCAAACTCCACTGACAATTCATCCTTTCTTCTATCACCACTCCCTCCTCTTTGCCTCTCTTCTTCTTCTCTTCTTTGTGCTGATCTTAATTTTCTCTGTTGGAAAAAAGAGGAGACTATACAGATCTATCAATAAAACTACATCACCATTATCAAATATCTAATTTTCATAAGATGGAGAGGCAAAGAAACAAAGGCAGTTAATACTGTATAATGAAGAAGGTTATAGACAGTAAAAAAAGTAAAACATCACTTGTCCATTTATTATGTAATTTCTCATGACAGCTGAATTTCTAGTTTAAATATTTTTCAATCTGGAATTATAACTTAGGTATCCTTGCAGCTTTGAGGAATCTAGCAAATGTAGTTTACAATAAAATGTAAACATACAATATATAATTCATATGCAGTATAATCTACTGAAACTGTATACTGTACCTTCAATAGAGTTACTATTCTCTGAGCTTCCCAGAGCCTTTCCTCTTTCCTTCTTGAGACATTTCCTTTTGCCACTTGAGCATGAAGATTTCCCAAGAGAGACTCTTGCTTCATCATCTCTTCTGCAATTTCTGCAACTGTCCGCAACTGGTCAATTGTTCGTTCGCCACCAGTACTTCGAATGGGAGGGACGTATCTGTCAGAAATTAAACAAAAAATTATTCTTTTGAGCCCTGCTGTTTGTCACATTCATTGTGAAATCATGTAAGATATGAGTTATTGTACTTACAAAAGAAATGGTAACTTGTTTTGTTTTAAACCGAACACTCAAGTCATATCTGCTTTTATGATATATATTAAACAAAAATTCATGACTTTTTCAAGAGTTACATGTATTTATGTCTTGCTCTAATACCTGAATGATTTATTTGGTTGTTTTTTTAAGTATAGATTGCATATACATTTATGCCAGATGGGCAAAGGGTAAGGCAAAAATACAAGATAGGGTCTTGTATGCACAGTACAAGTATAAATACATAAAATATAAGATACACTAATAGGCTCTTCTGTTTAGTGCTTACCATAATAAGGACAAGCTCTCATAAAACCACGAATAATGAAATCACCTGAAATGCCTATATTCTTTTGCAGCTTTATAATACTTCACTCATTATATATAACCATTATCATTACTGTTTTTCCCCTTTATGGGGATTCAAAATTATAGTCAATCATTTGTCAAATTTTCCATACAAAATGACATCACCAAATTACAACAGATCATTCAACTGCTTCATAAGCTTAGTCTTGTTCTTTTCCCCTTAAATTCACCTAAATACCGTTTCTTAAAAATTCTATAATTTTTCCAAGTCTAAGCCCTCTTGTTACTTTTAAGTTTTTCTGGGTTTTCTTCCAGGATATTTCCCTGGATTTTCATTTTTTCTTCAGGATGCTATATTCCCTTGTTGCCTGGTATTCTGCCTATTTGTACCATAAATGAGCCCTATTCTGACTTTGCTGCTCTTTCTGCAAAGCTGTCTTCTCAGAGGAGCCACTGTGTGGCTCCCAGTAGCTTCTAGGAGCTACTGTAAAGGCCAACTATGAAACGAATCATTGAATGTAATAAAATGCCCTTTTTTGTAGAGCCTCTCATTAGCTCATGTCCACCCTATTATTCCCGCTTATCTCCATGGGATTCTAGTTGCTCGTGAGTGAGGCGGCTGGATATCATGACCTTGGGTGGCCTGGGCTACCATCTAGTCATTGTTGTGATTTGCAGATGATGATTGGCTGTTGCTACCTATCCTTTGCATTTTCTTAATTTCTTTCAAAACCAAAAAAACACACACACACACACACACACACACATATATATATATGAAAATATTTAACCACAATGGAAAAATTAAACAAGAAATAACTTGAGCGCTTTTGTGTTAACACATTATAGTAATAATAATAATGTATTGATTAACATACATTTTTTGTCTAGAAATTACTATTACTGTCTAGAGATTACTATATTATTAAGATTGATGTATGGTAGCGCAAAGGATAAGAAAGACTAACTAGAAATCATATAAGCAATGAAGGAAAAAATATTGGAATCCTCAATCCAATTCAACTTACACAAACATTAACAAATAATGCTTACCTTTTGATTACAACATTACCAAAGAGATAAGGATGATTCAAGAACAAAACGTTGAGAACACGATGTGAGATCTGCATTGTTGGAGAGAGTACAATGCTTACATTCTGGTAATTCATTTTTGTATCTCGCTCCTGAGGGATGAAAAAATACTGTAATGGAATAATTGATGTTTAATGTTGACAAAATTTCTTTATTTTTGCCAAATATATTCCACATGGATGCCAAAGAGTACATTTATTCCACAAAAATAGATATCTGCTACTGGCATGAGGGGTAGCAAAATATATGCTAACTCTTTAGCTTTGTGCCAATGCCATGGGTGAGTAAATGTAAGCCACTACTAATTTACCATTTGCAGAATCCCAGATTCTCAAAAGGTTTTAATCAAATCAGATTCTATCAGTTCAATGGAGATTAAGTAGGAGGGCCTGGTTAATTATTAAATTGTCTGATGACTATTTTAACAACATTTCTTGCAACAAAGAAAATTCCCACAATAATAAGAAAAATGAAGGCTTTCAGTCAATATGATAAACGTCCAGAGTAGAGCTATTTTATTGCTCAATAAGATTAGAATACACTGTTCACTAATTCACTAATTCACTAGTATGGATTCATACAGTTAGACAGAATAATATTCACACACCAGCACCACAGGAATCTTTTCCAAATGACTCTTCAGTGTAATATAAAATGCAAGAGACACTGGAGAAAATCCCAATCCAGCCCAAAATAACCATGAAGCAGTACATTCATTAACTCAAATGCCCTACTGAACCCTCTCTGACATCAAATTGATTAAAATCAGGGCTCACAAACTGCTCATTTACTTACTTGGTCAATTAAGTAAGTTCATCACCCATAATGCTCTAACAGAACTAATATGCTGGTAACAGCATCAGCATATTAGTTCTGAGGCTGAGACCATTTCATAATGCACCCTGAAGGAAATCTTAAATCTGAATGCAGGAAAGAGCAAGATAATAGGCAGGGCCAGGAGGAACTGAATGGCTCTGCTCAGAAAGGTACTCTTATGTTAACACAAAGCATTATTTCTGAGATAGTTAGCCAAGCTTCATTTGCTAGCTTCCTAAGTTATGCAACAAATACAGAGCCGCAGGAAGCTGCAAGAAGACCCTCGATTCGAACACCAAGCAAGCAGCGCCTGAATCCAAGGCTGGGCCAGCCACCAAGGGTCCAGAAGGACTACTCTCCCTTGGTAGGTCTCTAAGCGAGCTAGGACCTGGAGCAACAGTGGAACCGGGGAAAAGGGGTACAGGTAAACCCACCTCGACCAGTCCTGCCTGAAGGCGCTGACCCCGACAGCCTCGCAATCGGGGAAGGGCGCCACATTGGTCGAAGGGGACTTTTCGACCACGCTGACGCGAAGAGGTCCACCTCTAGGAGCCCGAACGTATGGCAGAGCCAACTGAACGAGTCAGTGTCGACCATCCATTCCATGGACATGGGAATGAACCAAGACAGGCCATCTGCTAGGAGGTTGGACACCCCCCAAACATGAACAGCCAGGAGAGCCAAACCCCGAGAACTCAGCAGATGAGTCACCCGAAGCGACCAGCCCTAAAGAGCCAAGGACCGCAGAGAACCCCCCTCGGTTCAGACAATGAACCACCAGGGAGCAGTCCAAATGGAGCCGGATTTTCGATCCACGAGCGACCCAAACACTTAGAAGCGACAACCACACCGCTGCGAACTCCCACACTGTGCTGTGAGCCCGACAGAAGGATGGATCCCACTGCCCCTGGCCGGCTTGGTGAGCACTGTTCACAAAGTCCCAGCCAAGATACAACGCGTCCATGAACACATCGAGCAAGGGCTTGGGTAGGCGCCAAGGCACTGAACCCTGAAAGCCTGAAGAGAAAGCTGGTGACGCAGCAACTGATGCAAAGCCCCGGAGGCTGAACCAAACATGACCTAGCGGGTAGACCATCATGGCCAAGTTCAGGCTCCCGCACAAACCCTCGAGCAATCGCTGCGTAACCCGGAAGCCCCTCAGAAACAGGCGAAGGTGGGACGGTAGCCGTAGCAGAGCCGCCAGAAGGAGAGTCAAGGAAGTGGTCCAAGAGTCCCACACAAGATCCAAACAAGACCAAACCTGAGAGGGAATCAGATGGAACTTCCTCCAGTTCACCAGGAACCCAAACCCGGCAAGCTGGGAAAGAACCAAATCCCTGGCAAGTAGATACGCAGACCAGCTGGGAGCCCACACCAGCCATTCGTCAAGGTAGGCCACAACCCGAACCCCGAAGAGACGCAGACAGGCCACAATGACCCGGGTAAAATGTGTGAACACGCAAGGTGTTAGATTCAAACCGAATGGAAGGCAATGAAAGTGATAATCCTGAAGCCCCACAACAAAACCGAGCCAGTCCCTGAACCCCGGGTGAATCGAGACGTGCCAATGTGTGTCCCGGAGGTCCAGGGACATCATCCAAGAGCCCGGCTCCAGAAGAAGAAGAAGAAGACAGTCCTGGGACAGAGTAATCATTCAAAAGGAGGGGCAATAAACCCACGGGTTCAGATGGGGCAAGTCTAGAATGAACCTGAGGTCCGCACAATCCCGTTTCTGAACTGGAAAAAGCAGGAAACCCACTGGAGGGATGAGGTCGTTTCGAACACGCCCAAGCGAACCCACTCCGAGATGACCTGACAGAGCGCAGGAGAAGAGGCCTACCCGAAGGAGGAGGGGCCACCCAATGCCACTGCATGAAACGACCCGAAAGGCCCACAAATCGTGGGGACCAGTCGTGAGCAAACAGCTCTAGCCTCCCTCTTCCCCATTGAGGACAGCTTGAGACGGAAAAAAGCAGCATTGAATGTAATGAAATGCCATTTTCTGGGGGTTTCTATAGGTCATTGCTCCTTGTGCCTCTCTGAGGGGGCCAGGTTCTGGCTCGTAGTCCTCAGTAGGCCTAGAACTCCATATGCATTGACTGATGCCAGGGTCTAATACATTCATCTCAGCCCAGTTAGCTCCAGGGAGCCGACAGGGATCCCCCCAGAAAAATAGTCTCCCTAAAAATAGAAGAAGGAAGAGAAATACAAAGATATTTTGATGTGCAAGAGAGTGAATAAGGAAGTGAATTAGGCACACCCACCAGAATGAACCCAATAAGGAGTGTGTTGGAGATGTAAAGAGCTATAAAGTAAACATTGCTATATCACCAAGTACTGACCCGTGCAATTATGTGACCCATATGTTTGAACATGTACTGAACAAGCAATCTGTTAGCGGTAGGAAGTCTGTCGATCAGCTGTCTCATGGCTTCTGCTCGCTCTGCTGGATTAGGTATCATTGCAACATCTTCAAAATGTGGCATCATGTCTACTGTTAGCACCGGTTCTGGTAATTCCCTGCAACAAAAAATATATGACACTCAAAGCATCTTTCAAATATCCTAGAGTAATAATTGCTATAACTAGCCTGAATACACACATGCAAAATACTTTAGCGTCTATTAGTTCATTATAGGACGAGGCCTTTACCAACAAAGAGTGAATCAACTGGTGATCCTGCCTAAGGTATAATTCATTCTCTATTGTACAATGTTTATAGTACACATGTGCATGATGAGAGAACGATATCAGCAATAATGAGAAGCATTATGGTTACTGAGGATGAGATGAACAAGCACCAGATGGAATTAGATGTTGTCAAAGAGAGTAAGATCAGGCCAGATATCACCATTGCTACCAATAGATCCACGTAGTCTGGGGCTTAATACTTGGGTAGCAGATAGAAGCATCTGCCACTGAGGGCCCAACTCCATTCCTTCTGAAAGAGTGACCCTCCAAATCATCCCACAAACACACAGACTGAACCATTGTGGAGAGACTGGGTTCTTGTCTGCTACAACTGCCAAGGAATCCTCATTCAAACCAAGAGGACTCGGAGCCAATACCTCAGGAACTGGACATGCTCCGAACTAACACTGGTTGAATGCCTTTGTCATAGGTAGGAATGTAGCATGAGCAGTTTTCAGATTAAAAGACCAAAATCCTGCCACAGTAGTTAAAATAAATAACAGGAAAAGGTCTGTATTTAGCACAAGTCTGCATCATCAAAGCCTCAAAATGCTAAAATTGATAAAAAAGAGAAGACGTTCACCTCCTGCAGTTGAAGACTTCAGAAGCCACCACAGTAAAGCGTGTATTCTGAAGGTAGAAGCAGCCTGACAACCCACTACCCCAGGATGGCAATTCAACCAACACAGATGTCTAACAACAAAAATTGCACACCCATGGGCAAAAAAAATCATGAACCCACCAGGCAGAGTGAAGGGGATGAACAGGAATGTTTGAATCCAATAACCTGACTAGCCTTCCTGAAAGCTGTAATCAGAGTAAGCTGATGTGCGGTTATATGAGGGAGCCAACATGGAATGACCAATGAAGTAATAAGGCAAACTAACCCAGCAGAAATGGGTTTTTATATTATTTTCCCAATGAATCTGTGTTATGTATGTTGATATTTGTGATCTGGGAATGCAATTTTGGAATGCATCTCATGTTTAAATTTGAGACTCCCTGTACAAGATACAAGAAAGGCTACGTCAAGTCAGAAAAAGAGAAGGCCTGGGAATGAACATTATGCCAACATTAATATCAGGGGCACATATAAAGAGAACAGCATCAGCAGCACATGTTAAACTTACAATCATAAGAACATTAGTTAGAAACCAAAGCAAGGAATAATTCAGAACATTATACCTAGCTTATGCTAAACATTGGGAAGTATTAAAAGAACTAAGCACAATAACTGGGAGCCAGACCTGAGGAACACTTCCACTTTCCCCATATAAAGTTAGGTAAACTAGAAAGCAGGGTCCCAGAGCTAGCTCCCACTTCCCTTAGCCAAGACACCTTTTATGTGGTTTACATATGGTATACATATTACAGAATTTTCCTTAAACATTCCAATAATCTCAGATCCAGACCATTATAATTTAATGAGAAGTATAAAACAAAGTAGTTAACCTTATCAGTAATATCTGTAGAGTGTACAAATTCTCATTAAATATATACAGTATTGTCTAAAATTTAACCTAATCTCCCATACTGCATCCTCTCTTATACAGTAAAAAATGTTAACCAAATCAAACACACAAGAAACTACAGTACTCAAATCCTCCACCTGAGATACTGCTTGAGTAGCGAGGCAACAACATGAGGTTCCTGGTCTTTGAGTCTGACAGGGTCTCCTGAATTGTAATGGCGACGAAGGTGTTGCACTTTGCTCTTCACTCCACTCAACCTATAGATACCTTCACAGTGAAGACCTGAGGAATATGATTTTATATTTAATGGGATCCTCAAGTTATTCCCTTTAGTTTTTAATTAGGTGATGACAAAGTTTCTCACATTATATCTTTTCAGACTATGCAGCACCAGATAACATTCAAGCTATCCAGCAATTATCTAATTTCATCAATAATATATTCCGCTGAAACTATATTATAAACCATGATATACACACTTTGGTAAAGTCTGATGACAAACATGGAAACTTGTCAGCATTATTGATATGTCAATCTAATGACTAATTCTGTTGGTAGGGCCATACACCTGTATCATTATGGTCATCTTTCCTGGTATCATATATGCAACACCAGTAATGTAAAATTATATTATATTATATATTATATTATATTATATATATATATATATATATATATATATATATATATATATATATATATATATATATATATATATATATATATATATATATATATATATATATATATATATATATATATATATATATATATATATATATATATATATATATATATATATATATATATATATATATATGTCGTACCTAGTAGCCAGAACGCACTTCTCAGCCTACAATACATGGCCCGATTTGCCTAATAAGCCAAGTTTTTCATGAATTAATATATTTTCTCTAATTTTTTTCTATGAAATGATAAAGCTACCCATTTCATTATGTATGAGGTCAATTTTTTTTTATTGGAGTTAAAATTAACGTAGATATATGACCGAACCTAACCAACACTACCTAACCTAACCTAACCTATCTTTATAGGTTAGGTTAGGTTAGGTAGCCGAAAAAGTTAGGTTAGGTTAGGTTAGGTAGGTTAGGTAGTCGAAAAACAATTAATTCATGAAAACTTGGCTTATTAGGCAAATCAGGCCTTGTATAGTTGGCTGAGAAGTACGTTCTGGCTACTAGGTACGACATATATATATATATATATATATATATATATATATATATATATATATATATATATATATATATATATATATATATATATATATATATATATATATATATATATATATATATATAATATATATATATATATATATATATATATATATATATATATATATATATATATATATATATATATATAATATATATATATATATATATATATATATATCTATATATAATATATATATATATATATATCTATATATATATATATATATATATATATATATATATTATATATATATATATATATATATATATATATATATATATATATATATATATATATATATTATATATATATATATATATATATATATATATATATATATATATATATATATATATATATATATATATATATATATATATATATATATATATATATATATATATATATATCTATATATATATATATATATATATATTATATATATATATATATATATATATATATATATATATATATATATAATATATATATATATATATATATATATATATATATATATATATATATATATATATATATATATATATATATATATATATATATATATATATATATATATATATATGTCGTACCTAGTAGCCAGAACTCACTTCTCAGCCTACTATTCAAGGCCCGATTTGCCTAATAAGCCAAGTTTTCCTGAATTAATATATTTACTATAATTTTTTCTTATGAAATGATAAAGCAACCCTTTTCTCTATGTATGAGGTCAATTTTTTTTTATTGGAGTTAAAATTAACGTAGATATATGACCGAACCTAACCAACCCTACCTAACCTAACCTAACCTATATTTATAGGTAAGGTTAGGTTAGGTAGCCAAAAAAGCTAGGTTAGGTTAGGTTAGGTAGGTTAGGTAGACGAAAAAACATTAATTCATGAAAACTTGGCTATTAGGCAAATCGGGCCTTGAATAGTAGGCTGAGAAGTGCGTTCTGGCTATTAGGTACGACATATATATATATATATATATAATATATATATATATATATATATATATATATATATATATATATATATATATATATATATATAGAGGGGCACACCAAACACTGGTAGCTCCTCTGTAAATAAACATTATGTTGTCCGTGAACTGCTCGGGTTGAAGCACGATGTCCAAGACGGATAAAACTCATTGTCTCAAACAATAACTATATTATAGAAATAAATATTAATTCATAATTTAGGATAACTGGCAAGAAAATTACTAGTGCAAACCTTCAAATTCTTCCTCAACTTTCTTTTTCTTATCTTTTTTACTTTTTTTCTTTTCTTCTTTCTCTCTTCTTCTCTCTTCCTTTTCTTTTTCTTTTTCTTTCTTCTTATCTCCTTTCTTATCTTCTTTTTCTTTCCGCTTATCACCCTTCTTTTCTTCTTTTTCCTTTTTTTTCTCTTCTTTTTTATCTTCCTTCTCCCTCTTTCTGCCATCTCTTCTTTTGTCATCTCTTCTGTCATCTTTATCTTTTTCTCTCTCTTTTTCCTTCTCCTCTTTATCTTTTTCTCTTTTATGTAAAAATTTGAAGGATTTAGGCTTCTTAGGCTTCAGTGGACTCCTGCGAAGAGGATATCATTACTACAGATACTGTCTTTACCCAGGTATTGTATACCCTGCAGCAGGATGATATATATATATATGTTGTATAACCTGCAGCAGGATGATATATATATATATGTCTATCCGACCACTTTCACCCAAAAAACCAGCGTTGAATGTAACAAAACGCTATTTCCTGGGCGAGTCCCGGAGGCTTCCTGGAGCTACCCAGGCTGATATGGATATCCCTAACGCATCAGTCGATGTGGGTGGAGTTCTAGGCCTACCGGGGATCACGAGCCAGAACCTGGTCCTCTCAGAGAGGCAAGGGGAGCAGTGGCCCATAGAATGCACATGTAATTTTGGAGTATTCTATATCTGCCACTGACCGGGACAGGCACCCAGAAAGGTAAGCCCCACAAAACAAACCCTTATTCTGGTTAAAAATAACAAAAATAGACAAACGAGTGGACAGAATTCCACAATTGAAAACTAGCAAACAAGCATGACGTCACATGAGCCACACCGCACATCTGCGCAGCTCCCCCCTCCCCGGGAGGGGGAAGGGGGACTCCCAGGCCCTCTGCCGGCGACCCAACCTGCAATTCCGAGGCTGGATACCAAAATACGTGAAAAAATGCCAACCGGAGGGAGGGAGGGTTGCCGGGGGGCCTCCGGGACTCGCCCAGAAAATGGTGTTTCATTACATTCAACAATAGTCTTCTGGTGGGAGCCCCCTATGGCTCCCCGGAGCTACTTCACTAGAAACAAAATAAAGAAGGGGACGTACCCGGGAGGCGGTCGGTGCTACACTGCAACTCAAAGTCTAGACAGGCTGCAGCCGCCGACCCAAGCAACACAGGCCGACAAGGCCCAGGAACGGGAACAAGGTAGCGTGCAGCCAGGACACCGTTCGACAGCCAAAAACCATGTCAGCCCAGGACATGTTACCAAACACGGCAGCATGAGCAGCAAACTTACGAACGTCAAGGACACAGGGAGAAACCCCAGGCCGGTCAGACTTAATAACCCTGCAGACGACTTTAAGAGACCCGTACCCACAAACAGGGAAGAAGAGAAACTGGATCAACCCAAAGCGCGTCCCCAGACACAGAAGCCGTGGCACGCAAATAACGGCGGAGGGCCGCAACCAGACAACACAAGATGCACCTCTGGCCCGACCTACCAAGCATCAACGACCCAAGGACCCCTCCAGAAAGCAGCAGATTCCTTCCTCGCCAGGAAAGAACGAGACGGCTGCAAACAAACAAGAAAGACCTACGGAAAAACAAACATGAACCGATGGGGCCACAAAAAACCGAGGCAAAGACAGAAACGAGAGTACACCGGCCAAAAATCAGGACAGAGCAGGTGGCACATGAGCAGGCCGGAGGGAAACAACTCGCAAGAAAGCCTGCGCAACGGAGCAGAAGGAATAGCAAAACCGAAAGCAAACCGCAGTGGCTCCGCCAGCGCTGCACGAGACAAGGCGACAGTATGCGTGAAGCCGACAGTCCCAAACTCCCAAGAGAGAAGGACAAGACCACATCAACAAAAACCGCAGGATACCTATGAAAACACAAAGAAAAGGAAGGTACGCCAACAAAATCCCATACTGCAGCCAAGACGAAGCATGCAGGTGGGACTCATCAGCGAAGCCACCTGACCACCAAAGATGGCGAGAGACTCGAGTCAAAAGCACCAGATTGGAAGACTCGAGGAGAAGATCAAACCAGCCCTGATACAGACTGAGCCAATCATTAGAAGAGGCAAAGCCAGGGGAAAACCCTTGGGATCGGACACCGAGCAAGCAGCGATCGAAACCAAGCCTGGCAAGGAACCAGAGGGAACGTTCACCAGGGAACCAGGCACTCAAGCCCGGCGAGCCGGGAAAGAACCAACCTGGGTGAGCAGATATGCCACGTCCAGGAGGAACCCTCCCCCCCCCCGGACTCTGAAAGGAGCAACAAGGCCAAAAACCGATGACAACGAGAAGAAGCCACTTGCCAAAAGAGCCGAACCGTAGACTCTGCAAACAGCAAGGACAAATTCGGCGACAAAAACCAAAATGCCAGAGTCCAGGAAGAGGCCAATGAGGAAGCGAGTACAATGAGCCAACACATGAAACACGAAGCGAAAAACAGCTACACCTCAACCTGCAGGAGCAGTGCAAACAGAACCAGCAGGATAGAATGATGCACGCGAAGCAGAGTACCAGATAAGGAGAACTACCCAGAATGTGTACCGCACAAAGGCAAAATGTACCGTCCGCCAAAGAACACAAGGAAAAGGCCGGAGCCAGGACCAGAAGCCTAGCTCACCCTGTCCCAACAAAAAGGATCAGGAGGGGCAGGAGTGGATGAATGGAACCTACAGCCACCAGCAGACATTGCAACACAGAAGATGCACCTAACATATAAAACGTCAAAAAATTTTGATTGCACTAGAACAACTTTTAATAATCCCTTCTGTTGGGCCCTTAATTAAAAGATTATGAATCAGCTTCATATGGCACATTTTTCTTTTAATACAAAATGTCAAACCACAACCTTACAAAGGACACCAAGCATTATTCCAAATGATTGAAAATACACAAACATTGCACTTACTTGGTATCGGACTGATCCATCTCGTCAGGTGAACTGTCCTCTCCTAATGCTGCATAGCCTTTATCTTTATTTTTCTCCTTCTTGTCTTTCTTCTTACTTCTCAACAATTCCTTCTTTCCTTCTCTCTCATGTCCGCTGTCTCCGTCTGTCAGAGCTCGATGAATTAGTGACAGCAAATTTTTTACCAAAGAAGCTTATTTTAGAAAGGAAAAAGAATAATAGAAAGGAAAAAGAATAAAAGAGAGAGCAAAACTTCTTTCAATCAAGTACTGTAGTTGTACTGTGTTACTCTGCTGTCTCATGACACTTATGTTGAAGTGCAAAAGTTATGGGAGTATACATGAAATGTTTCAAACACATACATATGAATGACAGGCTCTGACAGGCATGGGCGTATACATAAAATCTTTCAAATACATAGTCTACATATGAATGGCAAGCTCTGACAGAGGCAATAAAATATACATGCTAAATCAGTAAAACAAGCAAGCACAAAAAAAAGTGGACTGAAGATCTTCAACAAAGCCAAAGCACACAACAAAGTGAAATTACAAGAATGAAAGTCAATACATTCACTCTCAAACCAATTAAAACTAAAGAAAATACAAACACAGTTCATGATACAGGTACATACAAAATTCCTAATCAGAAAAGGCATTTTGTATGTTTGATAGATATAGATAGACATACTGTATACAGTGGTACCTCCGATTACAAATTTAATCCGTTCCCAGAGATGGTTCGTAAACTGAAATAAATTTTCCCATAAGAAATAATGCAAATTGAATTAACCTGTTCTGCACTCCCAAAAATATTAACTTAAAAATACATTTCATACACAATACTACAAATAACATCAGGCAGTGATGACATTTCTGGGGTACTCTCTCTCTTTTACGATTTGCAGGCATACCACTAGGACCCGGTTGTGGCGCACTGTTGCTTGTCTTACTAAGAATCTGTCTACAGACACTTGTTTTTCCCTACGCTTTAACACTAGTCTGTAGTGAACCATCACATTGTCTCACTGCGAATGATCTCTTATTTTTCCTCTATCGTCATCCTCACATTTGTTTTCTTAGGTTGAACCTCACCACTGACTTTCTTGGGACCCATGGCATGATATATATAATAATTACTTTTATGTTCAGAAAAAAAAAAAAAAACTGAAATTCTTTACAAAAAATTCAAGCGCGATTGTCACTAGGTGGGAGGCACTGGTAAACTGAAGTGTGTCTCGCCCTTGCCACCAGGAACCACGCACTTGGTCAACCCATACGTGTATCAATAAACTCGCTAAGTAAAGCAAAACTCACAAACCAAGTCGATTTTTTAGAAGAAATTGAGTTCATAAACCGATAAATTTGTAAAGTGGAGTATTCGTAAACCAAGGTTCCACTGTATGTGTGTGTGTGTGTGTGTGTTTTTATAGTCTATCCCCGCATGTGCTTGCGGGAGTCGAGCTCTGCTCTTTCGACCCGCCACTTAACTGTCAATCGATCAACGATCAATTTTTTTTCACACACACACACACACCCGGGAAGCAGCCCATAACAGCTGTCTTAACCCCCAGGTACCTATTTACTGCTAGGTAACAGGGGCATTCAGGGTGAAAGAAACTTTGCCCATTTGTTTCTGCCTGGTCCGGGAATCAAACCCGGACCACCAAATTACGAGTTCTGCGCACTGTCCAATTAGCTACCAGACCCCCTTAGTCTTAAGGGGTATGTATGTATTACACTTATTATAAATTTACACAATATTTCAAACCTACATGGTTCATTCCCAAGTGAAGGGACAGTGCTGGGCATAATTGGATTTGTACCATTAGAGAGGTCAGGTACATAACACAAATAGATGAGTACATCATAAACGAAGAATAGGACATAATGGGGGACGGATAGGGGACAAATAGGGACCAATTAAATAAAAATAAAAAAAAGGGGGGAAGGAAGCACATACAAAGATTATTCAGGTGTAGTGGGCATTGCATTGGGACCACTTAAAATTTCTCCATCTGTATTTTGTAGAGCGAGAAATGCACAATTATTTTTATGTGGAAAATATTAGAGGGATTGATTTCAAATTTGCACACTGAAATAACTTCTTACAACACCAGGGGTATGGTAGGAAGTGCAAAATAGTCATATTTAAAAGCAGACACAATGAAATAAATGTTAAAGGCTCAGAACTTTTCAACACCCTCCCTCTATACATAAGCCAGAACTAACACAAGATCAGCAGTGACCCTTTGCAAGTCCATAGCACCATCCTCTCAGACAAACACAAGGCCTTGCTACTCTCACCCTGGCCTTTGCAGTGTCTCGATCCCAGCTATGGATTAGTCTCAAATTACTTATCTTTTAATTTATTGTGAGTATTTACATATTTTGATTGTTACTGTGTGTTTTACTACTCATTTGTCTGGTTATAACATAGAGGTTAGAATCTATACAGGACTTGTGTAAATTCTGATTCTCAGACTTTGACAAGACAAAAATGCATTAGGCTGATTGCCTAACATAGTACTTACTGTACACACATAACCAATCTATATACTGTATATACATATATTTTTTTTTCTATGAAATAATTCTATAATTTTTTGTAATTCTTAGTGTTATAAAATACACACACACAATTTAAAAAACTTTAATATAAATGTTCACATACAACTCACAACGATAAACAAAATCCTGTTCCTTTAATTATAACATGGATTGTACCTGGATGGGTTGTGAGAGTTCTTCTACTCCACAAGCCCGGCCCAGGACCAGGCTTGACTTTTGAGAGCTTGGTCCAAAAGGCTGTTCCTTGCAGCAGCCCTCAGGCCCACAAAAACAAAGGCTGCCTAAACTTTCATAATTCCTACTAAAATTGAATAAATGTAACAACATTTTCTAAATACAGATAAAATTACCATGAAAAGTAAGTAAGTAGTAGTACAGTAAATGCTTACATAAAAGTATAAAAACCAGCCAAAATCTAACTCACTCTCAAGGAATAGCAATTTTGATACTTTTGTGAAACCAAGAGAAACATAATAATGGTAATCCAGAGGACTAATGAGTATTGACATTCACTGATTAAGTGGCTTACCTAGGTTCATACACTTCAAGTTAGACCAAACCACTTAACATTTGACGCATGACTTATTGTGAGATGCTACAAAGTCATTCAATATGCAGTCTCAATCTGCAGTCATTCAATATAGCAGTCTCTGTGGTGTAGTGGTAAGACACTCGCCTGGCATTCCACGAGCGCTTTGTCATGGGTTCGTATCCCGGCCGGGGAAGATTTACTGGGCGCAAATCCTTAACTGTAGCCTTTGTTTAACTCAACAGTAAAATGGGTACTTGGTTGTAAAAACGATTCTTCGCGGCGGGGATCGTATTCCAGGGACCTGCCTGAAACGCTACGCGTACTAGTGGCTGTACAAGAATGTAACAACTCTTGTGTATGTGTATGTGTATGTGTATGTGTATGTGTATATATATATATATATATATATATATATATATATATATATATATATATATATATATATATATATATATATATATATATATATATATATATAAACTATTACATACAAAAATAATAATAAAAATAACAATAATAATAATAATAATAATAATAATAATAATAAATATTATAACAAAATATTATTTACATGCAGAAATATACTGTACAGTGTAAGGGATTTGGGAACTTAATGCAACTCTCATATCTAGGAGGAGAGAAAGGCATCAAGAATTGTCAATTATTGAATAAATAACTGAATTAACAGAGCATCACTATGTAAAAACCAGTAATAGCCTAGTGGATAGTGAAGTAAATAGCTTAGTGAGGCATGACACCTCACCACCTGATCATTACATCCACACCTCACCTCACCACCTGATCAGTGCATCATCCACACCTCACCTCACCACCTGATCAGTGCATCATCCACACCTCACCTCACCACCTGATCAGTACATCCACATATCACCTCACCACCTGATCAGTGCATCATCCACACCTCACCTCACCACATGATCAGTGCATCATCCACACCTCACCTCACCACCTGATCAGTGCATCATCCACTCCTCACCTCACCACCTGATCAGTACATCCACATCTCACCTCACCACCTGATCAGTGCATCATCCACACCTCACCTCACCACCTGATCAGTGCATCATCCACACCTCACCTCACCACCTGATCAGTGCATCATCCACACCTCACCTCACCACCTGATCAGAGCAGCCACACACCTCAAGTTAGTCAGCTATCACGGGCTGCTTTCTGGTGTGTGTGTGGGTGTGGAGAAAAGAAAAAAAAATAGTAGTAGTAGAAACAGTTAATTGACAGTTGAGAGGCGGACCAAAAGAACAGAGCTCAACCCCCCCCCCCCCCCGCAAGCACAACTAGGTGAATACACACACTCCAGTTACACATCTAGATTATACCATCACACTCTGCCTACCCGTATATACAAGGCACCTGCATACACACACACACAACACCAATCAACACAAAACTCCAACTATTACAGGCTAATGCAACAGCCCTCAATAACTACCAACATATTACACTAACCCAAAAACAGCAAACTATACAAAACACCAACCCACATATACTACACCCACACAGAACACCCTGATACACACACACTACATCCACATAAACCTCTGTATCCCACATACACTACACCCACGCAAACCTCTACATCCCACATATACTACATATCCACTCAAAATCCCAACCCACAAAATATAACCTATTCACATACACACACTCAAAACACCTCCCCCACATGCATTACAATTGCAGAAATATCCACCCAAACGCCTACCCCCCCCCCCACCCCACCCCACAAAACACCTACCCAAACACACTACACACTAGAACCAAACACCTACCCACCCCCACACACACACTACTACTCACACAAAACACTTACCTACACCCACACGCACTACATCCAAACACCCACCCAGATTCCCTACACCTAAACACCCATACAAAACACATACCCACCCGCACTACAACCAAACACCCACACTCACTACACCCACACAAAACGTCTACCCACGCGCACTACTAGAACAGAAACACCTACCCACACACTACAGTGCCTATACCTAGACCGTC